TGCATGCAGACGGTTTGATGGAGGGCGGTATTGGAATTGTTATTGAAAACCTAGTCTGTCAGTAAACAAGGGCGTCTTATGGCACTTTGGGCTGTCGGCCAGTTCTCAACAGTCCGTGATTGTTTTTTGTTTTTAAATGTTCCATTCATCTATCTCACTCATGTTCTGCTGGCTTCTGTGCACAGAATCCCGACGAAGCCGTTCGATACCAGAATATGAATGAGGCCTGTGGAAGATTAAACTAGCTGTCTAGCTGCCTGCTGTGTTGACAGTGAAACGGTGGCATAATTATCGTCAGTCTGCAGAAGAACAAGGTCACTTTTCTAATCATTATATGAATGCTTCAAGTCAAATTCCTTCCAAGACATGGATCGTTTTAAAGTTACAATCTAGATAGTAGCTGACTGAGTGAGCACAGTGTCATATTTTGGACAGCTATGTGGTTAGAGATGTTTTTATGACCCAGTCAGGGGTCGGTATACAAGAAGCTATTATAATTAGCCGTATTTGCAGAGATAATTCCTGCTGAATATGGTTTTCAGTCATGAGGCGCTTGTGGTGGACACACAAGACCAGTTCAAAACTACATGACGCATTGTGTCCTGTTCCCACAGTGAACTATTTTATTTTGTTCTGACTATTTTCACAAGAAGGAGATACATTTTACTTGAGCATTTCAGCTTGCGTGACAGAAATCTAATTTATCATCTATTGTATGAAATCTTAAGCAATGGGCTGTGGAATTGGCAAGCAGAGTTATTGGAAGCAGATTTTCTGTTTAACTCTTAAGAATGTGTGCGATGGTTCTGCACAAGTGCAGTTATGGTGTTTTTGTTTTTTTTATATTTTAATTACAACCAGCACTCCATAACTGTTGCTGCTGAGATTGATAGATTAGTCGAGTGTGCGCTTCTCAAATAAATGCTGGCATGCCCATATGCCAGCTTACTTATTGCCCTAAAAATTGCTTTGCATTTTTTTTTGTAAAGGTCAAACTTGCCTATGGTGTTGCTCCAAATAAAATGATTTTTGTATAAAAATATCATCTATATAGTGATATTTATGGAACAAACTACGGCTAAGTTAAAAGTATTAACTTTGCCTGCTTCTTAACAAGTAGAGCAGCAGTTTAAAATGTGAAGTTCCTCAAGTTCATCCATCCATCCATTATCTTTACCTGCTTGTTCCATTTTGGGTCACCGGGGTCGCCGGTGCCCATGTCCAGCAATCACTGTGCGAGGGGCGGGGTACACCCTGGACATGTCTCCAGTCCATCACAGGACCACATAGAGACAAACAACCATTCATTCTCTCACTCACACCTAGGGACAATTTAGAGTTACCTATCAACCTAACATGCATGTTTTTGGTCTGTGGGAGGAAACCGGAGCACCCGGAGAAAACCCACGCATGCACGGAGAGAACATGCAAACTCCACCCAGAAAGGCCCCTGGACCGGGGTTTGAACCAAGGACCTGCTCGCTGAGAGGCAGCAGCTCTACCAGTTGCGCCACCGTGCTGCTCCTCAAGTTCATTTTTATTGAATTGACTTGTTTTGTCAGATGTTACATTTGTAAAGTTATTGTCTATTGGGTCATATGTAATTTTAGTATAATTTATCTCATTGTGTTGCTGCCATTTTCAAATGGTCAGATTATTTACATATTTTTGCACATACTAATAGAAGTAAAAGTAAGTGTATTTGTAATGAATAAAAATATTGTATTTTTTACTTTAACATCCCTAATACAAACTACACCACTGTACAGGTTGAAGCAGAAAAGGCCTGTTTTTTTGTTTATTGTAACACTTTTTACTTTTTTTTAGCACTTCTGTTATATTTACTGGAAAAGAAAACTTGGAAGAATAAATGCATTTCATTAAAAAAACGGAACATTTAGCTCAGTTTAAAAAAGAAATTATGTTCTATAGTTGTATATTTCAAATAATTTTTTTTTTGTATATGCATCAAATTTTTCAACATTTTTGTTTTTTTGCAACATGGACCAGTTCAATGCTTCATTTATTTAATCTAGCACAAACATTTGAAAGTGATATATAAGTAGGAATTACATAAATAAGTATTAAACAAAGCATTAAAGACAATAATTGCATTTTTGAAGTTTCTCAAATCAATTTGTTCAGCACTACACTTACATTTTTTTATATATATATTCCCCTGCATATTAATATATCATAGTCAAAGATTCTTTATTGTCGTTCGCATCACATGTGATACATGTAGTGGAACGAAATTGTGTATACAGGGTCCTAGTTTTCTCAAATAATAGCAAAAATATAAAGTGTGAAAAGAAACGGTAAATAAGGATCTGAGATAAACTAAGATATACGCTAAATGAACGCCAAACGGTACGCTAAAAAATCTAAGATATACAATATGCCAGTCACTAATAATGCAAACCAATACACCGAACAACAGCAGCACGATTCTCATAGGTGCTGTTAGGATTTAATTTACATGCTTAATGCGAGCACTAACATAAACTAAACTAGCATAAACTAGGATTTATTCAAAGTATGCAACAAAAATACAGAAATAAGGTGCCAAAAGTGAAAAAGAAATAAATCTACAGCAGCATGGTCCTATTGACAGAGTGGTTCTGATGACAGTGAGGTTTCTCTTGGCAACATGGTCCCATTAGCACCATGGTACTGTTAGCGGCGTGGTGTTGTTAGCAGATCCCTTCAGCAGCATGATGATAATAAGGGCCGCAGAAGCTGCCTCCCAGACTGCCCTTCAGAACCGTGTCCAGCAGACAGAGAACATCCAAGGTTCCCCCACAGAACCAAGCGGGGTCTGCAGAGTTCGGTCCGATCAGGCAGACGGAGGATCTTGTTAGCAGCATTAGCAGGTTAGCAGGTCTAGTTAGCAGCTCGATGGTAACAATGACTGCAGCACCTGCCCTTCCAGACAGCCCTCCAGAACCGGGTCCAGCAGATGGAGAACATCCAGGTTTCCCCGCGGAACTGAACAGGTCCGTAGAGTTCGGTCCGTGCAGGCAGATGGAGGCTCGTGGAGACAGCCGCCATGACAGGCCTGAAGGACTGAACCTCGATGGCAAGGTAGAGACACAGAAAACTCCAGGTGTGTCGCGTTCATACCCGTACTGTGGATGTGCAATGAAGGTGCAAAAAAAAAAAGGTTAAAACAGAAACAACAGGAACAAAAAGAGGTAGAGTTCACCAGGAGCCTGTGAAGCTACGACTCGGTTGAGCGCAGCCATCTTGAAAAGTAGAAAATATAGAAGTGAAAAATATATATACCTAAATAAAGCATTTCATACTCAGAGACATTTTTTTTTACGTTTTTTAGTAAATTCTTGTCTCAGACAGCAAAAAATATTTTGTTTCTCCCTTTAATTAATGATATTTAATATTTTAAATTATTGTGATGTACATCTATAATTCCATGTAAGTAGCCAAAGGGACAAAAGTGCAAAGATGGACAGTTTTTAACCACCAGTTAATCACTATCTCAACTAAAAATATATTCCTAATTTAACTAATCAAGTAAATCAACATTGTGTCATTGTCGTGAGCTTTTCAGTAGCCGTGTAGGTTTTAACAGTTTCTTTGGTATTTATGATCAATAACTTTTCTCTCTATTCCTTTCAAAAATGCACCAGAATTTGCAGTTCTAATCTTCGTACTGAACTGTTTTTCACTCATTTCTTTGTGGCTGTGTTTATTGTTTGGTGTATTGATTTCCAGGGACCAGATGATGTTGAGCTTTGTGCAGCACAGCAATGATTTTATTTATTCAGCATCATTTGAGTTTTGCAAGGACATGTATTCAAAATACTCACATTTGTTGTTTTTGTTAGCAAACGTGATTTCTATGGGGTTTTTTTTTTAGGTTGTTGTGATATGTCAGTAGTTAAACTAAACTCTGCTGACCCAGTTCCCTTTAGATGCACAACACACAGGCTTTTGTTTTTAATCAATATACTTGCTTCGTTCGTTTACACAGGCTGCGCTGCATAATCCTTATTCCTGGAAACAAATGAGCTTTTTTAACCGTTTTGCTTTTTTTGTTTTTTTTATAAATTTGCCTAAATGTGTCATAGTGCCATGATTTCTAGCTCTTACTGGTGCCGTTTGCCGCTGAATGTGAAGCAGCTGGGTCAGCATTTCCAAATCTGAAGCTGTGGATAGATGGATGGATGAAGCCTTACCATTTGCAGAACTAACAGAAGTGTTGTTGCTTTAACCATGCAAGGCTTTTTCATTTAAAACAGCAAACATTTAGACTTACTCTAAAGGTCTAAATCAGCTCGTCTCAAATGGTTAAATTGTGCAACTTGGACTCGGTGCCAGCATATTGCGTGAGCACGCTATCTGTTGAATGAGATAGTCAGGCTGTCTTCAGTGAAGGCTGATAGAACTGACAGGTGAAAAATGAGTTGGGTGATGAACCCTCTGTCACGGTTTCTCAATCCAAAATGAATCCTCCGAGCTTTTCTTGACAGGAGAAATTGTTACTCTAGTCATTTTGAATCTCTGTAGAGACATGGAAGCATGTGTGTCTATACTCTGCTTATAATCAAGGCATGAGATTTTTGCTTTGTCCTTTTAGTCCACCAAACATTTCATTTTCTTTGCTTCATTTTCCAATTTGCTGCCTGTGCTATTCGTTATATTATTTTTTGTTTTATCATTGCATATTTGTTACTTGTTAGACCCACAAAGTTACAGGGAATGCAGCGTTATTTAATGTTTATGATGGAAGAAGGCTGGATTTCTTCTACTCAGACCTTGAACTGTAACATACTTTACCCTTGTAATCTAAGTGACTCACTAAATATGAGATATGGTTGTGTGGTTTGTGCTTTTTGTATGACTTGACTATGAGAAAAGCAGTTTTCATATTATAAATCCTCTTTAAGCTAAAGGTTATCCTCATTTTTAAGTTTTTATCACACAGTTGTTTGTGTTCATAAATATAAACTGTTTTTTATGTCTCTCTTTTGTGCTTATAGGGCTTACTCCCTTGTTGACTCCAGCCAGGTGTCCACCTTCCTGATCTCCATCCTTCTTATTGTTTATGGCAGTTTCAGGTGAGTCAGTAAATAAAATTTACCTGCCCAGAATAAAGCGGTCAATAACGTATAACGTACTTGTCGCCGTACACGTCGCACCGCCGCATAAGTCACATCGGTCCGAAAATGTCTAATAAAGTGGAAAAAACATAAGCAAGTCGCTTCACTGTATACGTCACACCTATTATGCATCACCGCTGAAGCGTCGCGTTTGTTATGTGTCACCGCTGACCACCTGGAAACGTGGGCCGGTGTTGTGCCAAAAATCGATTGGCTGCCAAGTGGTAGCCGTGGGAATGTGCATGGGAGGACTTTAACAAGAATTTAACAAGATTAACACTAAAAACAATTATTTGTTTGCTCGACATTAAAGCAAAAGTGTGTCTCAGTTTAACTTTTCCTTAATAAATGCACTATATTGGTCAAATCAGCTGCATCTCAAAAATTGATTTGCGGAAATAGGAGCACGCAGAGGGAGGACTCACTGTGCATTTCGTCAAAATTTAACAAGATAACCGCCTAAAAACAATGATATGTTTGCTCGACATTATAGTCAAGGTGTGTCTCAGTTAAATTTTTCCTTAATAAATGCACTTTAATGGTCAAATCAGCTGCATTTCACCTGGGCAGCGCGGCGAAATGCAGCTGATTTGACGTTTGCTCCAGGAGTTCCGGAGCGAGACGAAGATGTCTTTACGGCAAGCCAAGTGTCTCATTAATAGCCACTTTTACCTATTAATGAGACACTTGTCTTGCCATATTAGTCGAGGGCCCCCTAGTGGCTGAAAATGGTAGTCTTCAATATTTTCCATATCAAAATGAATAAAATCGTCAGTTCTCAGCCAAAAATTGGGTTATAAATTTTGGGGGGAAACGTATATTAGTCGCTTCGGTGTATAAGTCGCAGGACTTGCAAATTTATACAAAATGGTGTAACTTGTACAGCGAAAAATACGTTAGATCAAATTATATCTGCCTTGTTCATAAAGCAAAATGTTTAACCTAGTGAATATTTAATTAAATTATAATCAGGCTCTGGCAGCAGTTTTTTTTTCTGTAACATTTTGGAAAAAGTTGTTTCCTGGGCTTTAAGTGTTACAGAGCTCTGTTTTTGTAATGGAAATTAAACTTGTATTATTTACAATATTACAATGTATTCATAGTCAAGTAAATGAAACAGTTTGTGGACATTTTTTATTTATTTATTTTTTACAAACTCCTGTCTTTAAGCTTTACATATGCACTGTTAAAAGTCATGGCACCATCTTGACATGCTTCTTTTAGTTTTCCCATCAAACAATAATTTCAAAGCTGCATTTCTAGATATTAAGTTGAATCATAGACTTTGATTTTAGCATTTAATTAGTCTCAAATTCATTTATGTGTATTTTATACTGTGTGCAGATTGCACCCCTAGACAATGAAAAACTCAAGATGGAGTATTTCTACTCTGAAGAACACATTTTTTACAGCACACATTTACATTGTAATATAAGCATATGCTAATTATAATTTTATCATTCACGTTAGGCTTTAGTCATTATCATTTTTTTTCCCATTTAACATGCAAACACGTGTCAGTACCTGTTTTTCTTTTTATTGTTACATTATGTTTCAGCTGTTACTGTGATTTTGGTTGGCTGAAATAAAATTAAAAAAAATGTGTATAAAATTGAGTAAAATAATTTTTCTCTTCCAGCTTTACCACTGTATAATTTTTGCATTTATATGATAGTTTTTGCAGCCTGAATGAATGGCAACACTGAGTTAAAAAAGCTGACTTTATGATATACACAGTCTCATCTGTTGGTGTCTGAATCACATTCTCACTTGTCTTTTTTCCTCTCTCTCTGTTGCAGGTCATTAAACATGGATTGTGAGAACCAGGAGAAGGATAAAGATGGTAACCCTTTGACAACAGGGTCTTTTAATAACAACAACACAAACAACAGTAAGTGAGAAATAATTAGCAGAGCATGAAACGTTTGGAAGATGGAGGCAGCATTTCTTTGGTTTAATACCAGTGGTTCGCCTGCTCCGCTGGTGTTTGTGTATTTTAAATTAGTCTTTATTTTGTGTTTTACGCTTTCTAATATTTTAATATACCGATTTTTTGTTTTTGTTTTCAGGTATTCAAACTATAGACTCGACGCAGGCCCTGTTTCTGCCGATAGGAGCTTCAGTTTCTCTGCTAGTCATGTTCTTCTTTTTTGACTCGGTACAGGTGGTTTTCACTATCTGCACTGCAGGTAACTACTGCTCCTGAGCATATTACAAAAACACGCCGCATGCAGAATTATTATAGAGCTTTTATATTTCTACTCAGTAGCTACACAGTAGGGAATTCCTTGAAACTGAAGACCATTATGTACCCCATTAAACAGACAGAAATGCCTGCAACAAGCAGTCAAGGTGTATTAGGCTGAAGGTCTCACTGCTGTGCTTCTGTTCCTCTCCTCAGTTCTTGCTACAATTGCATTTGCATTCCTGTTGTTGCCGATGTGCCAGTACCTGACCAGACCATGCTCCCCGCAGAACAAGTAAGGAATTCCTGTGGCTTTTTGTGTCTTTAAAATGGCTCCTTGCTATTTGGTACCTCTTATAAACATTTGTAAAGCTCAGCGAGTCGTGTATCAGCATATCAAGCTCGTTCCAGCTTTGATGAAGCATTTTCATTTTGGTAAAATGTTCTATAACTAAAATATAAAAGTGAATGAGGGTACGGAGTAATATTAGTAAATATACATTAGAAATCTACTTTGCTACTTGATTAGAATGCATGCAACATCAATATCTATAACATTTCTTAATGAAATGAGGATAACGAGTTACAACAACAAATAATTTCCTTTTGGGATTAATAAAGTATTTTTGAATTTAATTGAATGTCAAAAGATTTCTCTCTAATTCTTATTCAGCGTTAAGTTGTATTTGTTTATCTAAAAGGTTTAGCTTTTAAGTGGCTGCAGTAGCTCAGTGGTCACAATCCTGAGGCAGCAGGTTCGAGCCCAGATTGTGTCAGGAAGACCATCCGGTATGAAACAATGGCCAAATCTTTTGTGCAAGTTTGCTTGAGGCAACCTTTGCAGAAGGGAACAGCTGAATGAATGTCAATACCATTCATATTTTATAGCTCGGTGGAGCAGTGGCTAGAGGTGTTGCCTCTCAGCGAGAAAGTCACAGGATCACCTCCTGGCCTGGTGCCTTTCTGGGTGGAAGTTTGCATGTTCTCCATGGGCACACGTGGGTTTTCTCTGGGCACACTTGTTTCCTCCTACAGACCAAAATCATGCATGCTAGGCTAATTGGTAACTCTAAATTGTCCCTAAATGTGAGTGAGAGAGTGAATGCTTGTTTGTCTCTATGTGACCCTGTGATGGACTGGAGACCTGTCCAGGGTGTCCCCCACATCTCACACAGTGACTGCTGGAGATGGAAACCAGCCCCCCCACAGCCCAAAAAGTTAAGAGCAAGTAAAGAAAAAGGAGAAATAGCTGGATATAGAAGAGCTTTCTTGCCAAAAATAACACATTTTTAGCTACAGTAAATTAGTTGAAGCAGCTGCTTCTTCATCTTCCTCTTTGGTAACTGATCAAGTATGTACAGGTTTGGATGGCTGCCAATTTTTAAAAGAGGCCAAAATCAGCCAACTGAAATCAGTCGAGCTCTAGCTGCATCTTGCTTTACACATTCAAAAATAACTTTACCATCTACCAAAAAATCCTTTACAATTCTGTCAGCTACACACACTGCATTATTTAGAATAACACTTTTACTAGTTTGCTTTGTCCTTTTGACAAACCTGTTATATGAAGTTCAAGTCAACTTTATTGTCATTATCATCACATGTGGTGCATGAGGTGGAACAAAATTATGTACTCAGGGTACCAGTTACACCCAAAAATAGAAATATAAGTATAAAAAGAAATAGTCTGTAAGGATCCAAGATATACACTAAACAAATGCTAAAAGATCTAAGCTATACTCTAAACACTAATCATGTAAAACAATATGTCGTAACAACATCAGCCCAAACATGAGGCTATGGTGAACAGATAGGTTTAAATGAAAATAGCAGCATGAGATCAGCAGCCTGGATAATCAGCAGCACAGATAAGTCACATATCACCAATTAAAGTGGAATTACAGTGATATATATATTTTTTTTTTTTCAGTTATAATCCTGATTAGGGATTTATGAGTAACAGCTTCAGGGTAGAAGCTGTTCCTCAGTCTAGTGGTTCTACATTTAATGCTCCGCAACCTCCTGCCTGAGGGGAGTGGGGCAAAAAGTGTGTATGCTGGGTGAGTGGGGTCCTTCATGATGCAGGTGGCTCTCTTCCTGCATCTGGAGGTGATGCTGGAGCACAGGATGCTCTCCCCTGCACACCTGTAGAAGGAGGTGAGGACTGAGCTTCCCAGACCAGCTCGTCTCAGCCGCCTGAGGAAGTAGAGTCTCTGATGAGCTTTCTGGATCAGACTGGTGGTGTTGTCCCAGCTGAGGTTGTCATTCAGGTGCACACCCAAGTACTTGTAACTGGAGACCACTTCCACCACAGCCATTAAGCAGCCATTTGAATAATAAACAGGACTTTTTTTTTTTGTCAACAGGATTGTTGAGCTATCAGTTAGCAATATCTAGCTGCGTGGTGATAAACTGTAAAAGCTTTGGTTGATCACAGTGCATCTCTCACATGTGTACTTTCTTTAACACAGGATTTCATTTGGCTGCTGTGGACGTTTCACTCTGGCTGAACTCCTGTCGTTCTCCCTGTCCGTTATGTTGGTTCTCATCTGGGTGCTGACCGGACACTGGCTTCTCATGGACGGTGCGTTTCTCAGTCAGTGCTATCGTTGTCAAAATTTTTAATACGGATTCATTGCATATTACAAACTTGGTTCAAGGTTTCTTTGAGTGCAGTTTAGCAGCAGGTTGTGTCATATGCTAATCTTGACTTGATACAGATTCTTCAGAACTGCAGAGATGTGTTTGATGCACATTTAATGACATTATACATCAAAAGATGATCCTGAAGTGATCAGGGAAGAGCAGCATGAGTCTCAGCACAGACTATATTTTTAATATTCAAACTAACCTTTTGGAAAATACACTAAAGCGCCTGGTGTGACATTCTGAAAGCTTCTAAGCTAGCTTGTAATTATGCTACAAGACAAAATTCATTTTTTATCATCCTCCTGAGGATTTGTAAACTTGGAATGACTCATGGGATAAAAATTATAGTTCGAGTTTTTACAGCAGTGCACTTTATTTAGCAGAGGAAGGAATTTGATCAGTCAGCTGCTTTATAAAACATTATTGGCATTTAAAATGAGTGGTTTTTATAAAATTTTATATCTTCTTTAATAGAGTGCCATTAAATGGAAACTTGAGCATTTCACATTACGTTTAATATTTATTGCTGCCTGTCTTCTTTAGTTATATGAAGCATGTCGCCCTGTGACAAAACACCAACATTGCGCTGATGAAAATTTAAAGCACATGTGCAGAATAGTTAAAATACTGTACATACTTTAGAAATTATAACATGATCCCAATGGCCTATTCAAGTTTTATTCACGCTAGTTTCTGTTTAAATGTGAAATATTGTGCTTTTCCTCCCTGCAGCTTTAGCCATGGGCTTGTGTGTCGCCATGATAGCATTTGTCCGACTTCCCAGTCTGAAGGTCTCTTGCCTGCTGCTGTCAGGACTGCTCATTTACGATGTTTTCTGGGTAAGTTGCACCTCGATGCTAAACTTAACCTGGATCTTCAAATCTGTATTAACTGCATAAAATGTCTGTTTCATTGGTTTTACTTAAATATTAGTGTTCTGTTTATGAAAACTTGATTTATTCTTAATAAATCTAAATGCAGTAAGTATTTACTGCTCAAAAATATGTAAATTTTTTTAATGGATTTGCAGCAGTTTGAAAGAATTTCCCATGGTTAGTTGTTTATTTGGGTAATTGCAACAAATGCTAAAAGGAAGCAACTCAGGAAAACATCATTCTCTGTAAAGCATAATGAAAATTTTGATGCAGTTGCATAACTTAAGTGACAGATGTTCAAATATTTTTTCTGAGAGGTGGGCACCAACACCTCTGACATGATCTCTTCCCTCCTGTTCTTATTTCAGGTGTTTTTCTCGGCATACATCTTCAATAGTAATGTGATGGTGAAAGTTGCCACCCAACCTGCTGAAAATCCCATCGACGTTCTGTCCAGGAAGCTCCACTTGGGACCAGGAATGGGCCGTGATGTCCCCCGACTATCCCTACCTGGCAAACTGGTTTTTCCAAGGTAATACTTTTTTTACAGCAGGGTTTAAAGATTTTTATATTTACTAGGGGTGTAACGGTACACGTGGGTATGGCACGTTCGGTTCGGTCCACGTGCGTACCGTTTCGATTATTTTTTCCACTGATTAAATTTTATTAACGAGAGATTATGCACCGCGGAACTAAAGTTCCTAAGCGTGTTTCAGCACGGCGCTATTATCTTGCAGCATTAGCAGCCTAGCATCTTGGTGCGGTCTCCTGTTTGGGAACATTATGACTTTCTTGTTAAAAGACAAGTGAACAAATCCAAAGCTGTGTGTCGACGTTGTTTCACGGAGAGTGGATCTGCAGCAGCAACACGTCTAACTTGTTAACGCGCTTGAAACGACATCATCCAAACGTGAACGTCTCTTCTAGCAGCTTGGTGCAAAGACCGATAACAGCAGCATTTAAACAACCTTTATCAGGTAATTCAGATCGGTCCAGAGCAATAACACAAGCTGTAAGAGTTTTTAAAGCTCTGGATCTACGTTTCTGTTGTTGATGCGCCGGCTTTAAAGTTCTTGAGCCCCGCTACGACATCCCATCACATCAACACTTCAGCCAAAAAGTTGTAGCAGCACTTTATGAAAAAGTTAAAACTGAAATTGTCAGCAAGCCGTGGACCAGATTAAAGTCCTGATGATGATGATAACCGAGAGCTTCAACCACCTCATAACAACCGTTCAAGTAGAGGTATTGTTCTTTTATTATTATTATTATTATCTAATTAACTTTTTTTTATTTAAAATTATAATCTTATTAACTCATTTTTTTTACCTATTTGTGTTTTATTTCCAGTCTGGGACAGATAAAGCAGCTGAGTTTTCCTGTTCAGGGAAGTCCACCAGAGATCACCTCCATCTAAGAAGTCTGTGATGACTGGACTCTGAACTTTTCCGGGGACCTGTTCCACCTGTGGCAGCAGGTCCAAGAGGTCATGAGTAATGATGAGGCCAAATACAACCACACTGCAAACTTAGCAAAGCTCTACCTCTTTATTCCTGCCACCTGTTGTTAGTGAGAGGATTTCTCCACTGCTAAAGATATTCACTGCAACTTTTGGCAGAAAATGTGGACAAGTTGGTCTTTTTGGCCAAAAACTTAAAACTTGATTAGTTAGATTGTAAACGGTCTGTTGCTGCTTATTGTTCTGGTTCTGACTGTTATTGTATTTATTAAGATTTTCATTATTCTTAGTATAGTTTATTTATTGTAAAGTGTGCCGTTTATTTAAAATATCATCCAACTGGGTCGCTTTTATTTATTTTTATACAACCGTGTTGTTTACTTGGTATATTTTCAAAATAAACGTTTTGTAAGTCTTCATTTTGTCTTTTTTTTTGTACCGAAAATGAACCGAACCGAGCCCTCCTTGAAATTGAACCGAACCAAAATGTGATTTTAGCGTACCGTTACACCCCTAATATTTACCAAAAAAACATCATCAGATTTTTAAGTACTTCATTAAAGTAGATGAAGAGAAGCCATTGGAAGTAAATTATATCAGAAATGTATTCTTAACTTTCATTTTATTGTGACAAAAAATGATCCAGTATTGATCATCTGTCCATCCATTATCTTTACCTGCTTCTTCCTTTTCGGGTCACGGAGTCACTGGTGCCCATATCCAGCAGTCACTGTGTGAGCAGCAGGGGACATCCTGGACAGGTCTCCAATCCATTACAGGGACATACAGAGACAAACAACCATTCACTCTCTCACTCACTCCTAGGGACAATTTAGAGTTACCAATCAGCCTAACATGCATGTTTTTGGTCTGTGGGAGGAAACCGGAGTACCCGGAGAAAACCCACGCATGTACGGATAGAACATGCAAACTCCACCCAGAAAGTCCAGAAAGGATTTGATCCGGTGACCTTCTTGCTGAGAGGCAACAGCCCTACCAACTGAGCCACCGTGCCACCATTATTGGGCATTTATGTAAACACTTGTTTTGTTCTTTTAAGCAAATTCCCTTTATCTGCTTTTGGAGCATAGGTGTAACTCTTATGATGTTTTAGATGATATTTCTGGAAAAAAAACTGACAAATTTAGAGGATTCACAAAAATTAAAGCCCCGCCATATTTATGTAAAGTAGTGACGTGTGCTATTTTTTTTTCCTTCCTATCAAATGGGTTCCAGTGCTAAACTGGTTCTGTCTGTTTCAAGTGTCAGAAGCATGAGCTTCAGCACCAAAACACTGGTCCTGCTTTAGCCCGAACTCTGCTGTGATTTAAAATGATCACAACCTGATGTTCATGAAAACCAACAACCAATGAGCTGTGAGCTCCTAATAGTGGAATAACATGAGCTCATTGTCTCTCATCATGGACAAACTTTATTGATCTGAAGGCTGAGAAATCTGGAAGTCTTCTGGGAAGATTTCCTGCTTTTCATTATATTACCAGTTACTTTATGACAGCTGGCTGCTCTTTGAAAATTAGGGATTTGCAGTGTTTTTTTATTGTATTTTATTCAGTTTAGATAAAATTTGAAAGATTACCTGACGTCACAATCACATTAATTCTTTTGTTTTTAACACCAACACTTGGTATTGACACGCCAAGTTGTTTTCTAACAGCACTTTTCCAGTTATGTGAAAAATAACACCCTGCATACACCCCATCAGTAAAAACAGCAACTCCATCCCAGCTGTTTTTCTGCTATCATAGTTTATTTTGAAAGGATTATAAAGTGGAACCTATGGTCGTGGGTAAGCTCAGCTTTACTGTCTGAATATGTTCGTCCCTCTCCACCCATTGTCTGGTGAAGATGACAGGATATACAAATCCCGGCTAGTATCTCTGTGCCCAAAGCCTCTGTTTCATTAGAGGGACTTTTAGCTGCAGAACATGGAATGACTAAACTTTATATTCGTCACAAGTTCCAAACTTATGACTACTGTCATTTGTTTAAGATAAAACTTGAAACAGTCCAAAATTATAAAGCGACAGGTGAAATTAACACTCATTAAGACATTTTTCTCTGCTTGAAATCACAGTTTTTGTGTTGACAAGTGTTGTGCTGTATCAGTCCGCCCTTTGAGTAAAAGATGAAATAAGCGCACTTTGTAAGAAGCAATGAATTACTGCAATTAGTCATGTTTGGAGCAGAGGCTGTTTGGTGGATGGGAAGTGGGGAATTTTTTTTTTTAAATAGGTGTTTTTGGTAAAATGCCCTTAAACATTGTTCAGATTTTATTATTGCTTGCTTACGTTTAAAAAAAAACTCCTGTTTGCAGAACCGTTTATTAAAACTGATCAGAGATCAGAAATCCCAGATGTAAAGATTGTAAAGTGTCTTTATAAACACCCTTTCTAGTTTAAAACGGTGATTAGAAATGAGACGTGTTTTTAAGATTAATGTTTGCAAGAATAACAAGACAAATATAAATGAAAACTACATTAATTCAGAAAACCTGATTAAAGTTGAGCGATAGATGTTTTGAGTGATGTAATGATGTTGCTCAGAGTTGGCTCTGATTGTGGGAAGGCAAACCACTTTATTTATTTATGTATTTTTTAATAGAACCAGTTATTAATCAACTCTAAAACCAGCTCTGGTCAGCCACTTGAAACCCTTATTGTGATCCTTGCGCGTTCTTTCAGGATCCATCACGGATCAGGACTGACCTGTTCTGGAGCGCACTTTGTTTTTACTAAATGCTATAAAAGGAATACATCTGCAGCGCTACAAGCTTCCAGATGTGTAGAGAGCAGAGGCTCCCAAAGCTGGGGTCAGGACCCTACAACAGAAAATAAGCATAAATGTTATGAATTAATTAAAAAAAAATATGAATTAATTAAAAAAGTAGGATCATGATAAAAGTGATTTGTGTTTTCTTTATGCCCGTGTTTAATGGGGTTCTTAGCAGAGCTTGTGGATTCAACAGGTAACGTTCGGGGTCACAAGCCTCTGCCGTTGTTGTTTTGTGGGTCAGAAGCTGAAAAGTTTTGGAACCACTGATAAAAAGGTCTAAGGTTTAATTAAAGCTGATTTTGTTCAATAAGGAACCTTGTGAGTCTATTTATAGACCAGAATAAATTCAGTTTCTCAAATCAGATCATTACGACAGAGCCACACTGTTATTTGCATGTGATCAGATTTGTGTGTGGACATCAGCAGCCTGTCTGGGGTGGCTGTGGTAACCACCTCGATGTGGATGTTAACGCTGGGGCACAACACTCCAGGTGTGGAAGCACCTGTCTCCACAGTATATTTTAGCATCTCTCTTTGTTTGTTGCCTTACAAGGCAGCTGGGCTCCTTTTGATTATGGCTCCTCAAGAGATGAACATTCACTGTGCTAAAGTCTTTCGCTACTGCTGGTTTCCTTGTTTTCCTCCATGCACATCCTCCTTGGATCTGGATCTGATTTAGTACCACGTATGAAAGTGATCAGAGTCAGAGTTGAACAAAACAGATATGTCAGGTTCAGACTGTCATTAAAAAAATCTGATATGGGTTAATTATGAGCAAAAAATATGTATTTGTGTCTTTTTTTTTTTTTTGCCTGTGAAGTGGATAAAGCCTTAATGGGTAAACCAGTGTGACAGGAAACCTTAACAAAATTAATAAAATTTTATTTTCAAGCACTTTGTTTTTTAAAGCCCGTCACTAAAATGTATTTTTTATGATCAGCGTGGAATTTTTGAATCAACAAAACTAAGCCAAAGATGGCTTTTAATCACTAGTAAACCTTTTTTCCACAAATTAAGAGACAACCAAAGCCATTTTAACTGAACACTTGATAAGTCCCAGGACAAGCTCTTAAAACTAAGAGACGTATCTACAGTGGATGGGCAATGTTTGAAAAAGAGCAAAGACCTGAGGGAAGCGTCATCCATGAGTTAATCTGTATTTAGTTTTTCTGTAACTGAGGTAAAAAGACTGTCCTGAAAATATTAAAATGCAGGAAAAGTCCAAGTGAAAACTGCAAGACCTGCAGAAAACCTGGACAAATGTGAAGAAATGAAAGACTTTGCAGTAATAGTCTATATACTGTAGAATCAGCTTAATGTACCGGTACTTCTAATATTTTAGTGATTGGTCTTAAAGTTTGACATCTAATCCTGCCCTTTGCTTGGATTTCAGAAAACTAATGAATTAATGACACACATGGCAAGCCGCAGTGATGCTCGTGTTAATCCATTCTTGTATTTCAAACTTGGTCTCCGCTCTTTGCCCTTCGTGCAGTTCCACAGGAAGTCACTTCTCCATGCTGGGAATAGGTGACATCGTGATGCCGGGGCTGCTGTTGTGCTTCGTCCTGCGCTACGATAACTACAAGAAGCAGGCGACCGGAGAAGTCCCAGGACCCGGCAACATGTCCGGACGCATGCAGCGTGTATCCTATTTCCACTGCACTCTCATCGGATACTTTGTGGGTAAGTCACCAGTTGATGGACGGATGAAACGTGCTATTTAGAGGTGGAAGTTCCTCCATGTTTCGTTGTCTTTATCATTCATCACGCAATGGATTAGTTTGCTGTTGTCCTTCCAAAAGTTGCTGTTGAGTTTATCTGCGGTGTTTTCAACGTATTGTGTCTCTTCAGGTCTGCTGACTGCCACTGTGGCCTCTCGGATCCATCGCGCTGCTCAGCCTGCTCTGCTGTACTTGGTTCCCTTCACCCTGCTGCCTCTGCTCACTATGGCCTACCTGAAGGTAACTGATGTGGCTCCAAACACACACAATCACACGCTTCTAGGCCCGATCAAGTTTTGGGTTTTTGTAAAAGCACCAAGTTACTGAGGTGTCTTTCTGTGTCTCTGAAAATGTACAAATAATATCCTCTTAAGTATTTCTACAAAACAAATCTAACCAAGAAGTAGTTCCAGCGTATTTCTTTCTCAACTTATAGCTTGTTCATAATTTTATTTTTTTCTTTGTACACTTGAAAAAATAAAAAAGTACCATACCACAGGACAATAAATTGTTCTTAAAAATATTATAAGGAGAGGGGGAGAGGTGGCGCAGAGAAGGTGGGGCTGTGATCGCCGGTTCAACTCCCGAGACCGACATCATCAAAACGTGGATGAGATAGGTGAAGCTCCCACACCTGCCTTCATTTGCTCCACTCTGGGCCCTTGAGCAAGGCCCTCAACCCCCACCATCTGCTCCCCCTGGTGTCCTAGATAGCAGCTCTCTGCTCCACCCAGAGAGCTGTGGTAGCTTGGTGGTCTGTGGTTGTGTCAGGAAAGGCACCCGGCGTAAAAATAATTGCCAAGTCTTCGTGCGACCTAGTTCTCTGTTTTGACCCCTGAAGAAGGGAGCAGCCGAAAGAAGGAGCAATAAAAAACTCAAAACATAAAAAAGTACCATAAACAGGACAAAAGTTTTTATTTTATTTTATTTTTTATTTTTTTTGTGTGCTGAACGTGTTTTAATTCCAGTTTTTATGGTATTGACTTTTGCAATTCTGGTTTGTAAGCCCGCAGTTATTTTATGTGTACAAGATTTTGCAGCTACTTAAAACACACAAAAAGTGGGCAGATAAGCATTAAGTCATGGTTTTATACACTGCAGCAGAGATTTTGGTCCATTCCTCCACACAGATCGTCTCTAGATCAGCCAGGTTTCTGGGCTGTCGCTGAGAAACACGGAGTTTGAGCTCCCTCCAAAGATTTTCTATAGGGTTTAGGTCTGGAGACTGAAGGTCACTCCAGAACCTTGATATGCTTCTTACGGAGCCACTCCTTGGTTCTCCTGGCTGTGTGCTTCGAGTCATTGTCATGTTGGAAGACCCAGCCACGACACATCTTCAATGCTCTAACTGAGGGAAGGAGGTTGTTCCCCAAAAACTCACAATACATGGCCCCGGTCATCCTCTCCTTAATACAGTGCAGTCGTCCTGTCCCATGTGCAGAAAAACACCCCAAAAGCATGATGCTTCCACCCCCATGCTTCACAGTAAGGATGGTGTTTTTGGGATGGTACTCGTCATTCTTCATCCTCCAAACACAGCGAGTAGAATTAGACCAAAAAGTTCTATTTTGGTCTCATCTGACCACAGAACTTTCTCCCATGACTCCTCTGGATCATCCAAATGGTCATGGTCAAACTAACAGGTCTTTAAGGGCCAGAATTGTTGCGGATTGGCAGGTGTTCAAATACTTATTTGCAACAGTAACGCACAAATAAATTATTTAAAAAATCATACATTGTGATTTCCGGATTTATTATTATTTTTTTTTTAGATTATGTCTCTCACAGTGGACATGCTCCTAAGATGAAAATTTCAGACCCCTCCATGATTTCTAAGTGGGAGAACTTGCAAAGTCGTAGGGTGTTCAAATACTTATTTTCCTCATTGTATAGTGCCTTTCTGTTTTATGAAGTTACTCAAAGCGCTTTACAACACAATCTATGTCCTCATTTACCCATTCATA